TGAACACAGGGGCGAGGGATAAATTGTCGTCTAAATGAGGCCGAAATGAAAATAACACTGGCATCTCATTTGAACAGATATAAGGGGGCGAGGGATAAATTGTTGTCTAAATGAGGCCGAAATGAAAATAACACTGGCATCTCATTGGAACAGATATACAGGGGGCGAGGGATAAATTGTCGTCTAAATGAGGCCGAAATGAAAAATAACACTGGCATCTCATTTGAACAGGATGAGGCCGAAATGAAAATAACACTGGCATCTCATTTGAACAGATATACAGGGGCGAGGGGTCGTCTAAATGAGGGATGAAAATTGTGAACGATATCGAGGGATAAATTGTCTAAATGAGGCCGAAATGAAAATAACACTGGCATCTCATTTGAACAGATATGGGGGCGAGGGGGTCTAAATGAGGGAAATGAAAATAACACTGGCATCTCATTTGAACAGATATACAGGGGCGAGGATAAATTGTTGTCTAAATGAGGCCGAAATGAAAATCTGGCATCTCATTGGAACAGATAAATGAGGGTCGTCTAAATGAGGCCGAAATGAAAATAACACTGGCATCTCATTTGAACAGATATACAGGGGGCGAGGGATAAATTGTTGTCTAAATGAGGCCGAAATGAAAATAACACTGGCATCTCATTTGAACAGATATACAGGGGGCGAGGGATAAATTGTCGTCTAAATGAGGCCGAAATGAAAATAACACTGGCATCTCATTTGAACAGATATACAGGGGCGAGGGATAAATTGTCGTCTAAATGAAAATAACACTGGCATCTCATTGGAACAGATATACAGGGGCGAGGGATAAATTGTCGTCTAAATGAGGCCGAAATGAAAATAACACTGGCATCTCATTTGAACAGATATAAAATTGTCGTCTAAATGGAGGCCGAAAGGAAAATTGCATCTCATTTGAACGTATAAATGAGTTGTCTAAAATGAAAATGAAACACTGGCATCTCATTTGAACAGATATACAGGGGGCGAGGGATAAATTGTCGTCTAAATGAGGCCGAAATGAAAATAACACTGGCATCTCATTTGAACAGATATACAGGGGGCGAGGATAAAATTGTCGTCTAAATGAGGCCGAAATGAAAATAACACTGGCATCTCATTTGAACAGAACAGGGATAAATTGTCGTCTAAATGAGGCCGAAAGGAAAATAACATATGGCATCTCATTTGAACAGATATACAGGGGCGAGGATAAATTGTCGTCTAAATGAGGCCGAAATGAAAATAACACTGGCATCTCATTTGAACAGATATACAGGGGCGAGGGATAAATTGTTGTCTAAATGAGGCCGAAAATGAAAATAACAGTGGCATCTCATTTGAACAGATATACAGGGGTGAGGGATAAATTGTCGTCTAAATGAGGCCGAAATGAAAATAACACTGACATCTCATTTGAACAGATATACAGGGGTGAGGGATAAATTGTTGTCTAAATGAGGCCGAAATGAAAATAACAATCTCATTTGAACAGATATACAGGGAGCATTGTCGTCTAAATGAGGCCGAAATGAAAAATAACATGGCATCTCATTTGAACAGATATACAGGGGCGAGGATAAATTGTCGTCTAAATGAGGCCGAAATGAAAATAACAGTGGCATCTCATTTGAACAGATATACAGGGGCGAGGATGGTCTAAATGAGGCCGAAATGAAAAATAACTGGCATCTCATTTGAACAGATATACAGGGGTGAGGGATAAATTGTCGTCTAAATGAGTTTAACACTGACATCTCATTTGAACAGATATACAGGGGGTGAGGGATAAATTATTGTCTAAATGAGGCCGAACTGACTAGTATCTCATTTGAACAGATATACAGGGGGCGAGGGATAAATTGTCGTCTAAATGAGGCCGAAATGAAAATAACAGTGGCATCTCATTTGAACAGATATACAGGGAGCGAGGGATAAATTGTTGTCTAAATGAAAATAACACTGGCATCTCATTTGAACAGAAATGAAACGAAATGAAAATAACACTGGCATCTCATTTGAACAGATATACAGGGGCGAGGGATAAATTGTCGTCTAAATGAGAGGCCGAAATGAAAATAACACTGGCATCTCATTTGAACAGATATACAGGGGGCGAGGGATAAATTGTAGTCTAAATGAGGCCGAAATGAAAATAACAGTGGCATCTCATTTGAACAGATATACAGGGGAGCGAGGGATAAATTGTCGTCTAAATGGAGGCCGAAAGGAAATAACACTGGCATCTCATTTTGAACAGATATACAGGGGAGGGATAAATTGTCGTCTAAATGAGGCCGAAATGAAAATAACACTGGCATCTCATTTGAACAGATATACAGGGGGCGAGGGATAAATTGTTGTCTAAATGAGGCCGAAATGAAAATAACACTGGCATCTCATTTGAACAGATATACAGGGGCGAGGGATAAAATTTCGTCTAAATGAGGCCGAAATAGAAAATAACAGTGGCATCTCATTTGAACAGATATACCGAGGGATAAATTGTCGTCTAAATGAGGCCGAAATGAAAATAACACTGGCATCTCATTTGAACAGATATACAGGGGTGAGGATAAATTGTCGTCTAAATGAGGCCGAAATGAAAATAACACTGACATCTCATTTGAACAGATATACAGGGGGTGAGGGATAATTGTTGTCTAAATGAGGCCGAAATGAAAAATAACACTGGCATCTCATTTGAACAGATATACAGGGGTGAGGGATAAATTGTTGTCTAAATGAGGCCGAAATGAAAATAACACTGGCATCTCATTTGAACAGATATACAGGGGGTGAGGGATAAATTGTCGTCTAAATGAGGCCGAAATGAAAATAACACTGGCATCTCATTTGAACAGATATACAGGGGGTGAGGGATAAATTGTTGTCTAAATGAGGCCGAAATGAAAATAACACTGGCATATCATTTGAACAGATATACAGGGGGTGAGGGATAAATTGTTGTCTAAATGAGGCCGAAATGAAAATAACACTGGCATCTCATTTGAACAGATATACAGGGGTGAGGGATAAATTGTTGTCTAAATGAGGCCCACTGGCATCTCATTTGAACAGATATACAGGGGTGAGGATAAATTGTCGTCTAAATGAGGCCGAAATGAAAATAACACTGGCATCTCATTTGAACAGATATACAGGGGTGAGGATAAATTGTTGTCTAAATGAGGCCGAAATGAAAAAAATAACACTGGCATCTCATTTGAACAGATATACAGGGGTGAGGGATAAATTGTTGTCTAAATGAGGCCGAAATGAAAATAACACTGGCATCTCATTTGAACAGATATAATGAGGGATAAATTGTCGTCTAAATGAGGCCGAAATGAAAATAACACTGACATCTCATTTGAACAGATATACAGGGGCGAGGGATAAATTGTCGTCTAAATGAGGCCGAAATGAAAATAACAGTGGCATCTCATTTGAACAGATATACAGGGGGCGAGGGATAAATTGTCGTCTAAATGAGGCCGAAATGAAAAATAACAGTGGCATCTCATTTGAACAGATATACAGGGGGGTGAGGGATAAATTGTTGTCTAAATGAGGCTGAAATGAAAATAACACTGGCATCTCATTTGAACAGATATACAGGGCGAGGGATAAATTGTCGTCTAAATGAGGCCGAAATGAAAATAACACTGGCATCTCATTTGAACAGATATACAGGGGCGAGGATAAATTGTCGTCTAAAAGAGGCCGAAATGAAAATAACACTGACATCTCATTTGAACAGATATACAGGGGGTGAGGGATAAATTGTCGTCTAAATGAGGCCGAAATGAAAACAACACTGGCATCTCATTTGAACAGACATACATGGGGCGAGGGATAAATTGTCGTCTAAATGAGGCCGAAATGAAAATAACAGTGGCATCTCATTTGAACAGATATACAGGGGGCGAGGGATAAATTGTCGTCTAAAAGAGGCCGAAATGAAAATAACACTGACATCTCATTTGAACAGATATACAGGGGGCGAGGGATAAATTGTCGTCTAAATGAGGCCGAAATGAAAACAACACTGGCATCTCATTTGAACAGATATACAGGGGGCGATGGAGGCAAATATGAAAATGACACGAACAGCTCATTTTAACAGATATATTTATCAAAATTTCACAAAAAATAGGTTGAAATACTAAAGAGTACATTTAATCAATAAAATCACCATTGACTTCAACCACGCCCTGAAGACGAATTCGGAATCTCCTGCAACTCTTCTGGATGGTCTCCTTGTTTATGTTGGTCAATGTTGCTATAGTCCTTGCCCTCAGTTCATCTCTGATGTTATAAGAAATTTTGTTGGTCTCTTGCTCAACTGCTACCAACACATAATAATCCAGGGGTTTGCAATCTGGAAAGTCAGGTGGTCAGATGTAATGTGTATTGTGGTCACAAAAATTGTTTGATAGCCATAACTGGTTTCACCTGTTGGGGCATGATGCAGAGTCCTGTTAGCAGATATAAGAGTCTTCCAGAAACCACCCTCCTGATACAGGGCAGCACTCCGAGGCCCTCGCCTACAAATTCAGGAGTTTTGTTCTTATTAGAACAATCCGAGTGAGTTTTCCGAGCTGATGTACTTTCATAATCGCCATTAGGTCCCTTCAAGTCTTTTCCAATCTTCTATCTTGACATCAGATTGACACCAAAACAAATGCTCGTATTGGAGATTTCTGTGCGAATGCAAAGCGGTACAACATGCCTTTTCCAAATTTCTGGCGGAGAAAATTGCCTCAAGGTACTCTTTTTCTCACAGACCCTACTGTACTGTGCAGTAGACAAAATCAAAAACAAACAACGCGCATGCGCGAAATTTAAAAAAAATATATATAAAATGGCGACAATTTGCCCACCGCACTACATAATATATATAATGAGGAAGAAAGAAAGACAGAAACTCTGGTGGAGAGAAGAGAGAGAGAGAGAGAGAGAGAGAGAGAGAGAGAGAGATATTATATAACAAAGAAGAAAGTCTTTAGAAAAAAGTAAGGAAGCATTCCAGACGAGAGGGACAGTCGAAAAAAAGAAAAAGAAAGAAAGAAAGAGATGATATAGATAAGGAAAAAAAAAAAAAAGAAGCAAGTGAGAAAGATTATAAAGAGAGATAGGTTGTAGAGCGAAATAGAAAATGAGAGAAGAAAAGAATGGAAAAATGAATGAATACAGAGAGAGAGATAGAAAGAGAGAGAGAGTGTGTGTGTGTGTGGTGGAAAGAAAGAAAGAAAGAAAGAAAGAAAGAAAGAAAGAAAGAAAGAAAGAAAGAAAGAAAGATTACGAAAAAAACGAAAGCGGGCAAGACTAGACAGGATGAAAAGCAAAGAAAAGAAAAGAAAGAGAGGAAGAAATAAAGAAAGAAATAAAGAAAGAAAGAAAGAAAGAAAGAAAGAATGAAAGAAAGAAAAATTAAATAAACAGAAGGAAAACGCGCATGTCTAGGCAGCAGGAAAACAAACGTAATACACAATAAGGAAAGACTACATAGCGCGCACAAGAGAGAGAGAAAAAATATAAGAAAACCTGTTGAGAAATAAAAAAGAAAGACTGTAGTGAGAAAGGAATGAAAGAAAAAATAAAAGAAAGAAAGAGAAAAGGCCAAAGTTATGTTGTATAAAACACACTTTAAAACAACGCCGCCATAACAACGCCGCCATCTTTTCATCAGTCTTGTTTTATTTCCTCCTTACAAGTAAAATAATTGTTTTAATGAGCGCTAATTGTATCATCTAAGTTTGTTTGGTAATTATGTTAGATATTATTCTGTGAATTTCTTTTTTTCTTGTTTCTTGATTTTTTTTACATTGTGACATAATTTAATTAGTCCAAAGAACAATTTTATCGGCCATTTTTTTTTCCTGACAGAGGTCCAGGATTTGATTCGCAAGGGAAATCTTATTGTCCTTATTGCATGAAGATGTTCAAGTTAATCGAGTCATATCATTTGCAAATAGTGTAATTAAAGCAGATTTTTCGACATGAATTGTTCGAGGAAGTATGTATGGAGAAATAATTATAGCCGTTTGTTTGTCTACGTGCGCGCGATAGTGTGAGTTAACTCTGGTCACGTGGTACATGAGGTTAAATTACGAGATGACGAGCCGGCTAAACAATCCTGATCCGTTTAAAAAATATTATTCATGCCTTATAATTAAGGTAGATTAATTGGTACAGTAATGAAAATAAAATTAAAAATTAAAAAAAAACAAAAGAAAGAAGAGTTCTTTTGTTTAGATTTTCGACTCATTAAAAAAAAATTGAACGGCGGGAAGCCCGTCTAACGGACTGGCACTTCGACCAAATTACTTATAAAAGTAATACTAATTACAAAAGTTGAATAAAAACGATTTCTATTGAATTGTCGTTCGATTACAGGAAGATTGAAACGTAAAAAGAGATGAAAAAAAAGATATTGAAATTGTTATTTCATGTACATATGTCGGCAATGTTTCAGTATAAAGCTAAGGACGTTTTTTTTCAGTTAGAATTCTTGTTACTAAATGATTTTTTATGCTTATGTTCACCCAATATAAGGTCTAAGAGTCACTCAAGGTAGATGGTATTGCCTGGTGCTTTATAAACGTAAAAACATGTAAAGAAGTGAAGTTCGTGAAGCTATGCATGAAAGATAACTAAACTTGAAAAGGCTAAGATGGCCGTGGTTGGAAATGCATTCTGTCGGAAATCAATCAGCTGAGGTCTTGTTAAATCGAAAACAGTTGGAACTGTCTCAAAAATGGGACTGGGACATTTATTTTCGACCGAATGTTGTCAGTATCGTGAAGTGGGCTTCAACGAGCGACCTAGATAAAAGAAGTCGCTAAATGAGGATGAATTACGTTTTTTTTTGTTTTTTTTTTTAGTCGAAGAGGGCAGGACATAGAACCATGGTAGGTATAAAGTGAGACCATTACACTGAAAAGACACACTACCATGTATGGAACATGTGAACAATAAGGAAGTTTTAAGGCAAATAGTATCAAAAAGTACACATATTCTTAGAATCCGAAAGAAAGAGTTGAATTTTCTGGACGTATAATGAGGAAAGTGGATTTGCTTTGAGTCATTCGACTTCTTCTTCACTTATTCTCAGCCAGGCTAAATCATTACAGCAGAGCAAGCCATCATAAAAGAAGGAGACAAATGAGACGATAACAATTCAACTTCATGCAACACAAAAGTCTTGTCTTTCTTTCCGATCATCTACCGAACTGTGTAAAAATCTTAGGCCATTTTAAATTGTTCGTAAATTTCTCATAATAAGTGAATGATCACCTGGAGTATGCGAGAATTCACGACATTTCAACCGTTGCACGTTACGGTCTTTTTCAGCGAATTGGAATTTCGAAATTCCAATCCCCTGAAGAAGGCCGGGGCGTACAACGACCGAAACGTCGTGAATATGTTAATAAACATAAGTAAAACAGCCATTACAATGTAAATAATTTAAACAACAAAAATACAATTTAGTAAACGCTACAAAGGAAAGGAAACCGTGGAGTGCCATGAACATAAAAGGAAATTTGAATTTGTTACCAAAATATCAAGAAATTTAAACAGTTTCTTAATGACGGTTAGCAGATGCTATTTACTAATTTTTTTCCTAGACCACCCTGGCCATTCGTGGGACTTTTGTATCGTTGGGATTCATCGATAGAACCATATCTCTTTTCATTCTAGACCCTTCCACATCTGTGAGATGATTCTCCAACATTATTGGTGGCAAGAACGATTCTCGCATACTCCAGGTGATTGGAAGTTCCAATGACGTGAGGAAGGCCGGTGTCTGAAACGGCCGAAACGTCATGAATATGACAATAAAAATGAAGAAAACAACCCGAACAATGTAAATAATTTAAACAAATACAATATCGAATTTCAGAAATATAGACAGATACAATTCTGTTATCTCGTCTAAACCTTGACTCGCAATCCATTTACTGAAGCTTTCTGGTTACACCAGACATCTTGTTCGTTGACCAGGTGCATCTTTTTACAGTCAAGTGCTTGAGGCTTAAAAATTACGCTCCAGTCAGCTCATTACCCACGAGTAAAAACAAAACAACTTATAGCAGTAAACCAGATTTTATTCTTGGGTTGTAACCGACTGCTACAAGCCAGCGAAGGGAGGTTAACAGTCTAACGAGTGTTTTCCTATCGTTCTCCGGAGTCCGTTTTTGTCTCTCTGCATGAATTTTCGGGGGGTACTACTCACTTTTATACCTAGCATGCTTTTTTGTTATGTCATCTTCGTCTACAAAAAATATATATATATATATCTTCATTCAGCGATTTCTCTTCATCTTGGCCACTCGATGAAGCCTACTTCACGATACTGATAAACATCGATCCGAATCCATTTTTGTGACAGGCTCAGCTGCTTTCAATTTAACAAGACTTCAGCTGGCTGATATTGCTATATTTTCCTATCTCACTCTTGCCTTCAATCTGTCCTATGAGTACTATTGTCCTCATCTTTGTCGCCATATTTATTACAACGTTTCGGCCGTTGTACGCTCCGGCCTTCTTCAGTATCTGTCTATATTTCTGAGATGAGGTATTATGTACACTATTTACATTATTCGGACTATTGTCCTCATCTTTGTCGCCATATTTATTACAACGTTTCTACCGTTGTACGCTCCGGCCTTCTTCAGTATCTGTCTATAATTCTGAGATGAGGTATTATGTACACTGTTTACATTATTCGGACTATTGTCCACATCTATGTCACCATATTTATTAAAACGTTTCGACCGTTGTATGCTCCGGTATTCTTCAGTATCTGTATATGTTTCTGAGGTGAGGTATTATGTACACTATTTACGTTATTCGGACTATTGTTTTCATCTTTGTCACCATATTTATTAAAACGTTTCGGCCGTTGTACTCTCCGGCATTCTTCGGTATCTGTCTATAATTCTGTGATGAGGTATTATGTACACTATTTACATTATTCGGACTATTCTCCTTATCTTTGTCGCCATGTTCATTACAACGCTTCGACCGTTGTACGCTCCGGCCTTCTTCAGGTGATTAGAATGCCGAACTGAAGCCTTATTATTTATTATTATTTAGTTAAGGCAGTGGAGAACTTGGAGAGGGGTATATAACAGCAGATAACTGATAACTGACATCCATTAAACATGGCACGTGGAACTAGAACAGTCTACCTCAGTGAGCGAAATAAAGGGTTCAGGTCGACATTCCAACTATCTGAAGAAGGCATGGGCGTACAACGTCCGAAACGTTGTAATAAATATGGCGGCAAAGATGAGGTCAATAGTCCGAATAATATTAACAATAATAATATATATATATATATATATATATATATAGAGAGAGAGAGAGAGAGAGAGAGAGAGAGAGCATCAGTTTCCGATTAATGTGTCTTCTGGAACAGTAGGTGACTATCTGATGTTTCTGTATGTTCTCCCGGTACGTCTTATAGCGGCTATCTACAGGGACTTTATTCCGAAAACATTTTCAGACCTGTTAGCGGATGCACCACTGCTAATACAAAGACGAAGGTGGTCGATTGTTGGTGATGCACTGGTTGACATCTACTATGAAAGCTGGATATATAGGCGAGATCTCCCCCAACCAGCTCAATCCTTTTGTATTCATGCAGCAGACTTTAATTATGCAAACACGCTTCATCAACGTGTCATGGGGGCCTACGTACCATTCCACACCGTGTGGAAGTATTTGAAAAGGTCTATCAGTCAATAACCCGACGGACGGGTGCGTGTATAGAAGGAAACGGAAGACATTTTGACCATTTGTTATGAGCTGATGTGTTGGGGTACAACGATGGCCCTTTTGGACACACACACACACACACACACATATATATATATATATATATATATATATATATATATATATATATATATATATATTCCCTTGTTTTGACGTCAGGAACCCGCCCCCAAAGTTTTAAAAAGTATTTATGTCTTAATGTCTAATGTCTTTAATTTAACTACAAAATTAAATTCGGTGCTTTCAGCTTCCATTTTTGAAACATGGTTAGAACTGTGTATCGAAAAAAACTTATTTTAAATCAATTAATTTATAATGTATATATATATATATATATATATATATATATATATATATATATATATAGATATATATATATAGATAGATAGATAGCAGCGCATATTTCATTTAAGAGAACTGATCCGACGTGCAAATATTCGGGAAACAACTGAGACATTACTCTACTTATTGAACTATTTAGTTCATGCCACATTGACTGATGAACTCCTACAACAAAAAATTCTTAAATTTCCGCATTAGTAAAAAAAATATCCTCACTTGAATTTTGAAAAACTTCAACTTTAGCATTGCGATTGCACGCTCCACAAGTTTGTATCTGTTATCAATAACACATTTAAAAAATATATATATATATTTCGATTTCTATTATGTTTTTGTTTTCTCGAATGCCACCTGAATTTTACCAAAGTAGTTTCTATTCCTGATGAAGACCGGAGGACCCGTCGAAAGTATTAGCATATTTAAGAACTAATACAGGAGATAATTTTAAAGAACAAGGATCATAACATTCATCGAATGGTTAGTGGGTTAATGAATTTTTAAGATTTAGTTAGCGAAGTGATTTCGCCATTTAATATCATTAACATTACTTTAC